TTGGGGCGGTGGGGTAGCCTAATGGTTAAAGCGTTGGCTTGTCACGCTGAAGACCCGGGTTCGAATCCCCACATGGGCACAATGTGTGAAGCCCATTTCTGGTGTCCCCTGCCGTGATGTTGCTGGAATATTGCTAAAAAGCGGCGTAAAACCAAACTCAGTCAGTCAGTGTTTCTATATATCCTGTAGTATCTATCTGCTACACAACTAGTTCTACATGTTTTGTATATATCCTGTAGTATCTATCCTGCACACAACTAGTTCTATATGTTTCTATATATCCTGTAGTATCTATCTGCCACACAACTAGTTCTACATGTTTCTATATATCCTGTTGTATCTATCTGCCACACAACTAGTTCTACATGTTTCTATATATCCTGTAGTATCTATCTGCCACACAACTAGTTCTATATGTTTCTATATATCCTGTAGTATCTAGCTGCCATACAACTAGTTCTACATGTTTCTATATATCCTGTAGTATCTATCTGCCACACAACAAGTTCTACATGTTTCTATATATCCTGTAGTATCTATCTGCCATACAACTAGTTCTACATGTTTCTATATATCCTGTAGTATCTATCTGCCACACAACTAGTTCTACATGTTTCTATATATCCTGTAGTATCTATCTGCCACACAACTAGTTCTACATGTTTCTATATATCCTGTAGTATCTATCTGCCACACAACAAGTTCTACATGTTTCTATATATCCTGTAGTATCTATCTGCCACACAACTAGTTCTACATGTTTCTATATATCCTGTAGTATCTATCTGCCACACAACTAGTTCTACATGTTTCTATATATCCTGTTGTATCTATCTGCCACTACATGTTTCTATATATCCTGTAGTATCTATCTGCCACACAACTAGTTCTACATGTTTCTATATATCCAGTAGTATGTATCTGCCACACAACTAGTTCTACATGTTTCTATATATCCTGTAGTATCTATCTGCCACACAACTAGTTCTACATGTTTCTATATATCCTGTAGTATCTATCTGCCACACAACTAGTTCTACATGTTTCTATATATCCTGTTGTATCTATCTGCCATACAACAAGTTCTACATGTTTCTATATATCCTGTAGTATCTATCTGCCACACAACTAGTTCTATATGTTTCTATATATCCTGTAGTATCTATCTGCCACACAACTAGTTCTACATGTTTCTATATATCCTGTAGTATCTATCTGCCACACAACTAGTTCTACATGTTTCTATATATCCTGTAGTATCTATCTGCCACACAACTAGTTCTACATGTTTCTATATATCCTGTAGTATCTATCTGCCACACAACTAGTTCTACATGTTTCTATATATCCTGTAGTATCTATCTGCCACACAACTAGTTCTACATGTTTCTATATATCCTGTTGTATCTATCTGCCACACAACTAGTTCTACATGTTTCTATATACCATGTTGTATCTATCTGCCACACAACTAGTTCTACATGTTTCTATATATCCTGTAGTATGTATCTGCCACACAACAAGTTCTACATGTTTCTATATATCCTGTAGTATCTATCTGCCACACAACTAGTTCTATATGTTTCTATATATCCTGTAGTATCTAGCTGCCATACAACTAGTTATACATGTTTCTATATATCCTGTTGTATCTATCTGCCACACAACTCGTTCTACATGTTTCTATATATCCAGTAGTATCTATCTGCCACACAACTAGTTCTATATGTTTCTATATATCCAGTAGTATCTATCTGCCATACAACTAGTTTTACATGTTTCTATATATCCAGTGTTGCGTACATGTAGCCATGGATGCCTGGCATCTGATGGGAAATTTCTAATTGATGTGTTATACTAGAAGATGTTTGCAGTTGTGATGCTCATGGTATTATGACCTATAATGACCTAGTGGTCTGTTATCGCCTGTAATGACATGGTAGTGTCAGTGTCACCGAGTTCTCTCTCTTCACTGGCTCTCTGCCTGATAGTGGGCATTTCTTTTTATCTTGATTATTGGGTGCAGAGAGTAACCCTTGGCAACCAATGTAGGGAAGGTTGGCGAGCACTAGTGAGACATGACTGGTGTGACAGAGCTATACTGTCATGTCTGTATGAACATTCAGAACTTTTGATATTCTAGATATAACACTTTAATGTCTGTATGTTTTGTTCTCGGCTATATTTAGGTAGTTTCCAACCCCAAAAAATTTCAGTCCAGTGAGTTCAGACATTGTAGGCAGATTTGCCACAAGTTGGCGCAGTGGGTATTGTCGGTGGGTATTGTCAGTCATATCCTAAAATTACTGGATTTAGAAAATACATCTTCGCTGAAGATTTTTGGGACTAGGGCCCACACAACCAAGCTTTGTCTGGCTTTTGTCCCTTTTTTCAATTTTCCCTCATCTGATTCAGACTAAGACTTGTAGGGTTTTGCCAGGTTTACTTGACTTGCAACACTGACAATGGTTGACACCTGACTCCAGACAACACTGACATAGGTTGACACCTGACTCCTGACAACACTGACATAGGTTGACACATGGCTCCTGATAACACTGACATAGGTTGACACATCGCTTTTGACAACACTGACAGAGCTGAACACCTGACTCTTGACAACACTGACATAGGTTGACACCTGGTTCTTGACAACACTGACATTGACACCTGGCTCTTGACAACACTGACATAGGCTGACACCTGACAACACTGACATAGGCTGACACATGGCTCTTGACAACACTGACATAGGTTGACATATGGCTCTTGACAACACTGACATAGGCTGACACCTGGCTCTTGACAACACTGACATAGGTTGACATATGGCTCTTGACAACACTGACATAGGTTGACATATGGCTCTTGACAACACTGACATAGGCTGACACCTGGCTCTTGACAACACTGACATAGGCTGACACCTGGCTCTTGACAACACTGACATAGGTTGACATATGGCTCTTGACAACACTGACATAGGTTGACACTTGACAACACTGACATAGGCTGACACCTGGCTCTTGACAACACTGACATAGGCTGACAGCTGGCTCTTGACAACACTGACATAGGCTGACACATGGCTCTTGACAACACTGACATAGGTTGACATATGGCTCTTGACAACACTGACATAGGCTGACACCTGGCTCTTGACAACACTGACATAGGTTGACATATGGCTCTTGACAACACTGACATAGGCTGACACATGGCTCTTGACAACACTGACATAGGTTGACATATGGCTCTTGACAACACTGACATAAGTTGACACATGATGCTTGACAACACTGACTTAGGTTGACACCTGACAACACTGACATAGGTTGAAACATGATGCTTGACAACATTGACATAGGTTAACACCTGACAACACTGACATAGGCTGACACATGACTCCTGACAACACTGACATAGGTTAACACCTGACTCTTGACATCACTGACATAGGTTGACATGTAAGTCTTGACAACACTGACATGGGCTGACACATGGCTCCTTGCAACACTGACATAGGTTGACTCCTTGAAACAGGATCAGCTTGTACCATAGTACACATAACACTAGGTGTCTGATCAGCTTGTACCACAGTACACATAGCACTAGGTGTCTGATCAGCTTGTACCACAGTACACATAGCACTAGGTGTCTGATCAGCTTGTACCACAGTACACATAGCACTAGGTGTCTGATCAGCTTGTACCACAGTACACATAGCACTAGGTGTCTGATCAGCTTGTACCACAGTACACATAGCACTAGGTGTCTGACGTAAAATGTTTGTTGAATTGATGATAGGATGCAACACTACCAACATCTGATGATGTCTACTGATGATTGGATAGCTGTGATGAACCCACAATGGACAAGGAAAATTTAATCATATGGTCTGTGTATTAATACATATGTACAAGAGAATGCATATTTTCCTGTCAGTGTATTTGTAGATGTTAGTTTGGTTCCTCTGTTCATGAAACACTATGAGATACATGTGCAGGTGGTTGAGCCTGTGAGGTCGAGGTGACCCAGTGTGCAAATACCATCAAGCTGTTTTGCCATCATACAATATTCTCCAACCGACAGTATGCATGAGCAACATGGTGTATGTTCCTCTACAGAAACTAAAACCACGACAGATTTAGCCCAGACACATCGTGTAAACTTACTAAAAACTATCTCAGGTTCATTGTGTTCATTGGATCCGCATGATCAACACGCACATGGTTAAATTTCCGAATGAGGGAATCACATGGAAACTATTGGGTGGGCGATGTTGCCAATGGTGACTGCTTCTAAATCAAACTTCTGTAGATGCAGCTGATTACAACAAGCAGTTATATAAATTGTACTGCATCAGAGGTAGCTGGGCTTCCTATGTTGTCTTGCTTGCAACAAGAAGTAAAATGAAATGCTTAATTTTAACGTCTGCTGACACACTTCGTGGGACAAGGACAAGTTTTTTGGTCAGGGGATCATCTTGTGCACAGTAATGTGCAGTAGGAATCTGTTGATTCAAACTGGTAGCTATGTCGTCTTGACCTGGGCTGTACACGCATAAGGAAATGTTTTTTCTAACACTCTTGAAGTCGGTTATCTGGGGACGTAGTCATCTAATTGATCACAAAATGAGACATTGTGCGACTTCTGTTTCTTTTCAGTTTGGTCCTGATATTTAGATGTGGCATGTTCACATGCCTTGTGAAGCCAGGATTTTTTTTACATCTCAACCCCAGAACTGACTGGTTTGGTCTGATTTCAGGTGAAGAGTGAATATGTTTGCACTTGTTGCATGTATCTATAATTTACAGGATTGAGAATAATTGCTACAGGAATTTTCATTTAAGAATAAATGTTTATTATAAGATTTTGTAAATGAGAGTACTTTAATTTGTTAGATTAGTTACTGCACTTTACACGGAATGCTGATGAAACATGTTAGGTCACTATTGTGAGTGTTTGTTAACTTGTTGTCTGAAAACTACAACATAATAAAATGATGATACTTTATTTCACAAATCAAATTCATTGCATGCCCATATAACATATGTAATATTTGGGATGACACTTTCTTAGTTAAAGTACAAATTCATTGGTGTAATCATGGATGCCCATGGTTTGTTATAATGTTTTGCACGTTTCATGTGGAATGCGGAAGTAAATTTCGCAAATATGAAAACGTTCTACCAATTTTACTATGTTATCGTCTAGAGATTCTGCATAGGATTGGTTTTGTTTTGGTCATTTAAAAGTGTATACAGATGCAGCAAAGATTACATAATGAGAACATTAAAGTAGAGATATTTTGATATTATATATCAAGGAGGCGTGTGTCCTAGTTTGCCGGTTCGTCACGTGATGTCAACAAACACAGTGTATTCCTCCGCACACATTTCTCCGCCCACATTTCCATAATATTTCTTTAATACACAAACATGCTGAACAACCAGCAAATAAAACTCTCCAAAACAATTGAAACCAATCGAGAGAAACAGTCACGCATTTCCCACGTCTTGTTCCTGTCAGGACGTTGAGGCGGAGACACCCATGTTTTGACGGACCAGCCTGTTGCACGTGAGGTCACGGTGACCTTGTCACTGCAGGATAACATGACCTGTGCAGTGTGTTCCGACAAACTTGACTGTAGTAATTTGTTGTTGCACCAGCAGTGCAGGCCTTATTGCCCTGGTGCACAATGCAGCTAGCTGAGACGCACTGAACACTACACATTCAGCTGTACCAGCCGCGGTCAACACTGGGCTGAAAAAGATAACAAAAAACATATATGAAGATTTACAAATATAAAAATAAGGAAACATTTTCTTGACATAACTTTATGGTAATTAATATTAAATATGTATGCTGTTGGTAAAAAGGTATTCTTGAGCTCATCAAAACATATGTATGTGACATAAAAGGCATCACTCAACAAATGAGTGAAAAACAGGTGTCACGTTTTTAGATAAATTTGAAAAAATAAATTATATTTTTATTGCTTCATTGTTCATTTGCACTTTGTGAAGTGAGAATTGTGTCCATTTTTGATAGGTATTTTCAAGTGTAAGGTTCTCATGCACTTATGTGCACAGAATGCGGAAGTAAAATACCCCCATGCATTTATAAAGCCAGCATAGTACTGTGCACCTCTTTCTACTTCGGAATGGAATACCGTTTCCCTCCTGGGACAAGTATGTATTTCTTACCGTTTTGTGGTAACACTTCGGACATTTGTAGTTCCATTGACTAAATTCGTTAAAGGTTTCATTTTATGGGCGTGTCAAACAGCGAAGACGGATCACGTGATGTAAACAATGTATTCATACACGCATTTAGTGTGAGTTGGCGTTTGTTGTTGTTATTTCGGCTGTGATGTTTTGAAGTTTCTTTTTTGACTAGACATGTGTATGTATAAGTGTCAGTGATCCGAAGTTTTAAAAATGCTTCAAATTTGTCAAGGGTATAGAGGAACACATGTTTTTAGGTCAAGTCACCTTGACATTGGTTGTGACTGTTCGGTTCATGTTTATCTTGTACTGTCAATTTATCGAATATTTCCTTGTGCAGTTTGAGGTCAGCGTAGTCTGACATGACATAACACAGCAATTCATTATGTCATAGAGACCGGACATTTTACTTACTGGCCTCCATGGAAAATGGATATGGTTGTCATTTACTGTTTACCGAGGGTTCTTCACTAATACATTAACATTTGACTTATTGCTGTGTCAATAATCCATGCTTGTTAATCTGCTTATTCATCTGGGAATCAGATATTGTCACATGCTCTTGTGTTATAGGAAAAGTTTCAAAAGCCTTGTGTCTGGTTTACCTGTACAGGTAGGGTTGATTGGAGGACTTAATGTTGTAGGTGTCTGGTTTACCTGTACAGGTAGGGTTGATTGGTGGACTTGATGTTGCAGGTGTCTGGTTTACCTTCAAAGGTAGGGTTGGTTGGAGGACTTGATGTTGCAGGTGTCTGGTTTACCTTCACAGGTAGGGTTGATTGGAGGACTTGATGTTGTAGGTGTCTGGTTTACTGGCACAGGTAGGGTTGATTGAAGGACTTAATGTTGCAGGTGTCTGGTTTACCTGTACAGGTAGGGTTGGTTAATTGGAGGACTTAATGTTGTAGGTGTCTGGTCTACCTGTACAGGTAGGGTTGATTGAAGGACTTAATGTTGTAGGTGTCTGGTTTACCTTTACAGGTAGGGTTGATTGAAGGACTTAATGTTGCAGGTGTCTGGTTTACCTGTACAGGTAGGGTTGATTGGAGGACTTAATGTTGCAGGTGTCTGGTTTACCTGTACAGGTAGGGTTGATTGAAGGACTTAATGTTGCAGGTGTCTGGTTTACCTGTACAGGTAGGGTTGATTGGAGGTCTTAATGTTGTAGGTGTCTGGTTTACCTTTACAGGTAGGGTTGATTGAAGGACTTAATGTTGCAGGTGTCTGGTTTACCTTTACAGGTAGGGTTGATTGAAGGACTTAATGTTGTAGGTGTCTGGTTTACCTTTACAGGTAGGGTTGATTGAAGGACTTAATGTTGTAGGTGTCTGGTTTACCTGTACAGGTAAGGTTGATTGAAGGACTTAATGTTGCAGGTGTCTGGTTTACCTTTACAGGTAGGGTTGATTGAAGGACTTAATGTTGCAGGTGTCTGGTTTACCGTTACAGATAGGGTTGATTGAAGGACTTAATCTTGTAGAGGTCTGGTTTACTGGCACAGGTAAGGTTGATTGAAGGACTTAATGTTGTAGGTGTCTGGTTTACCTTTTCAGGTAGGGTTGATTCGAGGACTTGATGTTGTAGTTGTCTGGTTTACCTTTACAGGTAGGGTTGATTGAAGGACTTGATGTTGTAGGTGTCTGGTTTACCTTTTCAGGTAGGGTTGATTCGAGGACTTGATGTTGTAGGTGTCTGGTTTACCTGTACAGGTAGGGTTGATTGGAGGATTTAATGTTGTAGGTGTCTGGTTTACCTTTACAGGTAGGGTTGATTGGAGGACTTAATCTTGTAGGTGTCTGGTTTACTGGCACAGGTAAGGTTGATTGAAGGACTTAATGTTGTAGGTGTCTGGTTTACCTTTTCAGGTAGGGTTGATTCGAGGACTTGATGTTGTAGTTGTCTGGTTTACCTTTACAGATAGGGTTGATTGAAGGACTTGATGTTGTAGGTGTGTGGTTTACCTTTACAGGTAGGGTTGATTCGAGGACTTGATGTTGTAGTTGTCTGGTTTACCTTTAAAGATAGGGTTGATTGGAGGATTTAATGTTGTAGGTGTCTGGTTTACCTGTACAGGTAGGGTTGATTGGAGGCCTAATGTTGCAGGTGTTTACCTTCGCAGGTAGGGTTGATTGGAGGCCTAATGTAGCAGGTGTCTGGTTTACTGGCACAGGTAGGGTTGATTGATGTGCTTAGTGGTGGCAAGTGTGTGGTTTACCTTCACTGGTAAGGCTGACAGATGTGCATTGTTGTGGCAAGTGACAGTTTTACCCGCATAGGTAGGGTTGATTGATGGAACAGCAGTAGCAGGTGTGTGTTTACCTACACAGGTAGGCTTGACAGATGCGCAAAGTGGTGGCAGGTGTCTGGTTTACCTTCATTCGTAGGGTTGATTAATATGCATCGTGATGGCAGGTGTGTGGTTTACTTACATAGATGGGATTGATTGATATACATCATTGTGGCAGGTGTGTGTTTTACCTGCACAGGTAGGGTTGATTGATGTGTAAAGTGGTGGCAGGTGCCTGTTTTACCTACATAGGTGGGGTTGATTGATATGCATCGTTGTGGCAGGTGTGTGTTTTACCTGCACAGGTAAGGTTGATTGATGTGCAAAGTGGTTGCAGGTGTGTGGTTTACCTACATAGGTGGGGTTGATTGATGTGCAAAGTGGTGGCAGCTGTGTGTTTTACCTGCACAGGTAGGGTTGATTGATGTGCAAAGCGGTGGCAGCTGTGTGGTTTACCTACATAGGTGGGGTTGATTGATGTGCAAAGCAGTGGCAGCTGTGTGTTTAACCTGCACAGGTAGGATTGATTGATGTGCAACGTGATGGCAGCTGTGTGGTTTATTCGTGGCAGCTGTGTGTTTTATTCATACAGGTAGGGTTGATTGACGTCATTGATTCTTTCCTATAATTCCTATAGACCTAGATGAACACCTGGTGAAACTAAAACAATAGTCTGAATAATATTTTAATTACTAAAAAATCTGTAGCTGATACTGTGTATCACCAAATTTCATTATAGGAGATGGCAGTTATCAGAAAAATTAATAACATGTTACACATTACAAAACACATGCCTTTAATGATATTATACAACAGGTGTATATCAATATCAATATATTGATTAAACGGCCTGCATAGATGTTGACGCATAATACTTCCTTAGTTTATGTCTTTTTTGTTTTGTCCCAACTCAGCTGTTGCAGAAATGGGTTAAATGTGTTGGTTCAGTTTCCGTAGATACAGAGTATCTGACTCTTGTCATTAAACCGGCATGACAAGATTACCACCAGTGCCAGGAGCACCGACTGATGGACTTGTGAAGAAGAAGGAAGCCTATCTACAGCCATTTCTTCCCTGCTGATACAGTCCGGCAAAAACTGCTGGTTTATTTAGGAATACTGATCTTGGTGAGCTTTTGCTCTGTCCGCAGTTCCTTTATATTGTTGGCTGGTAAATATTGATTAAATATGATCACCTCTTACAGCAGCAGCATGATAGGTCGGAGTGACTTTCCTCCTAGTGAACTGAATGGCCTACTTATGGCAATGTCAATCATATATAAACACCTCCACACTATTGCATGTATCAAGCTGTGGCAGCGACGCTGTAGTGGAAGTAAGTCGTGGTAGACGTGTTCGTCTCTGGTCCTAGCTTGCCCGACAGCGAGGGTACAACAAACACAGAAGGCTTGTACTTGAGAGATACGTTATTGATTTGGACTACATAAGCCTTCGTTGTGAATAAGGTATGACGTTGTACAAGTTGAGTACTTTGTTCATGGTGTATGGGTATGTTGGTTTCAGGTTTTCCGCTTTTAATCTTGTTTTATTCATGTTTGTGATTTTTTTTCAGCACAGATGTTTTATGCGTGTTGCTAATGTTAATAATAGCACAGCTTGGTCAATTTGAGTAGCAGTATGATCACAAGCTGTATGTTGTGTTCTGTGCAGTTTAGGGGCCATGTGAGGTCGTTGCGACCTAACCTGCATAGATAGTATCCTGCACACTGCCCCAGTACATGTGGAATAGCAGTGAGGTGCTTGCACTGGATTCAATGCACTGTGAAAGTGACGTTTCCTGGACGGAACCTGTTGGCAGTGTTCCGATCAAGTAGGTACCACCATGTTGACATGACACTGTTGGTAATGTTTATGAACTGTTCTTGTGGTTTGTTAGGATTGAAAGTGTTGATTTTTGTTTTACATGCAGTCTGTGCTGAAGTGTTTGAATTCCTGTGGACTTTGGCGTGTTTGGTGGTTTAAAATCAGCACCTGCAGAAACACGTGGGGTCACGATGACCTGATCGTGACCGAATTATGTGCATCTCGTGTGCGCACTTCTTCTGTAGTAGACGACCCTGTATGTTGCAAGTAATGAATGTAGTATTATGTAATGAAATAGAATTAAATATATAGCATTTTGGGGAGTGAGATGGTTAATACAAATCCTCCTAGGACCAAGTAGTAATCAGAAAACATATTTTGGTCTTGTTTGGGGCACTATGTTGTTTGTCATGCGACGACGTCATGGTGCGAGTAGAAACATGCCTTGGTTGTCATGTGTGTTATCACCCTTGGTCAGTATTCCACATCAATTAGTTGTGTTTCATGATAACCTACTGTGAAGGGAAACAGGTGTCTCGTGACCTTGATCACATGACCTTGTGACGTAGGATGTAAACAGTGTATTCATCCGCGTGCATTAGCATGTTCGGGTACGATCATGCTGGTTAATCCTTGTTTAATACTGTAAAAACTGGTCGACACATTTCAATGCGTAAATAGCTGAAATAATGACATGTTTGTTCAAATATTTTTAATACTGCCTTGCAAAGGAAACAAGCTTTTGACATGCACTTGAGATAAGCTTCCATGTGGAAGGTTTCGATGACCCAACCCATCATGAGCATAGCCTTTTATCTGATTCTAGTGTCACATTAAAATATTATGTTGTGTTTGCACGGTGTTGGAGAAGTGTGAGTCAGACTTGGCTTTGCTGTTCCAGTCATTGAGGCTACTGACGCACATGCCTGCCAATTGTATACGGGGCCACAGACAGTGAGCGCTACGGAAAACTACAACTAACAAAAGAATGAGAACGAGTGAAAGTATAGTATAATTGCTGTGATTCAGCTGAAGTTCACAATTTCTGAAGTCTCAATGGTTGAATGTGTCTCACATATTGTCATTGGCTTATCCAAATGCTATGCAGAAGTTCATAGCACATACAAGTTACCATTGGGTAAAATAGAACTGCCGTATTCTCCAGTGTCATCTGTTGAAAAATAGGAGAAACTATAATGCATGGAAATGGCTGTATCTTCAAATTTGGAATAACTCAACAGGGCTCTAATTAAAGAGTAAATTCATGCAAAATGCATTCACTAATGCTTTCCCCAAACTGTGATTCTGTGGGGCTAGTAAAGGCGGAAGGAAGGGTATTGGGATAGAAAGTGTGCAGGTGGGCTAGGGGTGTGAAGGTATTTTTCAGTTGCATCAAAAGCATTGTTTAAGGTCCACGCACGCATGCACGCATGCACACACACACACACACAGATTTAAAGGTAGGCTAAACTACAGAGTTTGATGGTTTGGGGTTGCATAAGGAATCCAAGGGGGTTGGAGTACAGAATTTGTTGGCAAGCAAGAAAGAGGTCTGAAGTTGGAATTAGTGGGGTGAACTATAGAGTTTGATGGTGTGAAAGGTTATCCACAACCACCTTCAGAGGCAATGGAGACAGACCAGGTCTTTCGAGGATCCTGCTAACCCTGTTCCTGACAGTTGGACAAGGATGATTCCCAGACCTCCTCCTGGTGCCTGTCACCAAGCCATGTTAAACCAAATTTTAATCAGAAGTGATATGTAGAGAAGCGACGATGTGGAAGTCTGTTATTATAGTCAAGCCACTATCTGGTCCAGTGAGGCAGGCATGACGTTGTATGGCCATATTGGAAATTGTTACACTTATACTTTGCCAGTCTTCTTGTAAAGTCCCCCACGCTAGTACCAAATGCTGAGGTCAGTTTCAAGTCCCAGAACATCCCAAAGGTGTTCAGTTGGTGACATGTCTGGAGATTTGGGTGGCCTGGGTAATGTTATGACACCATGCTGTCTCAGATCTCAGTCAGCAAGATAAGGACTCAGTCAGCTGCAGGTCAAAGACATGCATTGTCATCTTGGAACCCAAAGTTCTGGCCTACTCAAGGGCAGATAGGATGACCAATGGGTGTAACAACTTGTACGCATAACACTTAGGCTCCTCATGAACCATCAGATCAGGGCCTCTTTGCACAAGGCGACCTTAGCGCTAAGTCGTAAGTCTTTGTTAGAGTATGGGAGTTATGGTAGTCCTTCCGTTAGCTTTGTGCAAGTGGATCCAGTGTGACCCCAGGCTGGACCACCATGCTGCCACTATTGTACCTATCATATCCTTGGCTGATGCTGGATAGTACCTCTCTGTACCGTTTCCAAACACATTGCCTGCCATCTGTAAAACCTGAACAGAATTTCACTTCATCAGAAACATGGTTTATCTTCAGTGCCTCTGTTGACAACCCATTCCCACCATTGTCTGAGGTGTTTGTGTGATGTCGAAAGTTGGGTTCTTATGCCAGCCCTGAAATTGTCCCTCAGTTCTGGTGCAGAATTAGATGTGTTTCTCTACACAGTAAGGCATACATATTGATCATGCGTGGGAGTTTTGCCAAGTATTTGTCAACCAGCCTTATCCCTACCCAGATGTCGTTCCATCAGCCAGGACACCACACATTTAGATTTGCCTGGCAACTGCCTCCAGTCATTGGGCAATTTTTGTCCATCCCATTGCGCACTGTTTCCTTTTTATATAATGTGCTCTTTCCATCGTTGTCCCTGATCAGTGAACTGCATGGTTGTTATGTCTAATGGCATATACAAGGTACATGCATGAGTCACCACTGGCAGTATGTTTATTGGCATATACAAGGTACATGCATGAGTCACTGCTGGCAGTATGTTTATTGGCATATACAACTTTACTACAAGGTACATACGTGAGTCACTGCTGGCAGTATGTTTATTGGCATATACAAGGTACATGCGTGAGTCACCGCTGGCAGTATGTTTATTGGCATATACAAGGTACATGTGTGAGTCACCGCTGGCAGTATGTTTATTGGCATATACAAGGTACATGCATGAGTCACCGCTGGCAGTATGTTTATTGGCATATACAAGGTACATGCATGAGTCACCGCTGGCAGTATGTTTATTGGCATATACAAGGTACATGCATGAGTCACTGCTGGCAGTATGTTTATTGGCATATACAAGGTACATCCATGAGTCACCGCTGGCAGTATGTTTATTGGCATATACAAGGTACATGCATGAGTGACCGCTGGCAGTATGTTTATTGGCATATACAAGGTACATGCATGAGTGACCACTGGCAGTATGTTTATTGGCATATACAAGGTACATGCATGAGTGACCGCTGGCAGTATGTTTATTGGCATATACAAGGTACATGCATGAGTGACTGCTGGCAGTATGTTTATTGGCATATACAAGGTACATGCATGAGTGACCGCTGGCATGTTTATTGGCATATATTGGCATGAGTGACCGCTGGCGGTATGTTTATTGGCATATACAAGGTACATGCATGAGTGACCGCTGGCAGTATGTTTATTGGCATATACAAGGTACATGCATGAGTCACCGCTGGCAGTATGTTTATTGGCATATACAAGGCAGTGTTCCCGTTCTCCGGTAATTACCGGATTTTTACCGATAAAAATTGTGGAGATCCGGTATTTTCAACTGCCGTCGGTAGCTGCCGCCGGTAAATTTTGTATTGCTTAAAGTTGCCTTTTATCGGCAGATTTAATAAACTTGCAGTTAACAACGTCTTTGTGTATTCTTTGATCTCTTCAGATCATTATGCAAACGTATTGAAAACTAGGGTGGCAACCCCACATCTAAATATAGACTCTTGCAGACTGCGCATATGCAGATCAAGCCATGCCATGTGATTGGCTGATACAGACATTTAATGAATTCCTCGAAACATCGTTACTTTGCTCTTTGACAATGTTATTGTGGACCCGCTGCCGAAGGATGTGTCCGAGAATCGTTGTTTTCAATAACATTGCGAAAAATAGTTTATAATTTTAATTCTGCTGATTATATGATAAATTGAAATTTAATAAGTGTTTTCAGACATTGTGAAATATGATAGATCTAATATATGAATCATAAGTCAGGTAGGTTCCTAAAATTATGTCTCATTTTGACGCGACTACTGCCTGGCCGTTTAATGCGCCTCCGGCGCTGAATGGATTAACATCAATTCCTTACGCCGTGAAGTATAGATTTTCAACATCATAAAGCACCGTCGATTATATTATTTAATGCAGGTCCCGACTTGTCACATGCCTTCGCTTAGCTGTACCACTGACAGGCTGACCAATCAAGAGTTGTGTTTCACATGGAGTTCCCTTTTCATCCAATCAGAGCCAAGGTTACATGTCAGCTGCGCTCACAACACGAACCTTCATATTGTCTAACAAAGGTTGCTAAGTAACTTCGTGAAATGCAGATTGAAGTTCACCACAGGTATATAAACATTAATTATTTGCACATTTCACAGGCATTTAGATAGCGGTGACATTCTGAACATATTTATCGAATTTAGTTGGATCGCTTTCATTTTCTGATCGTGTGAATTGTAATGTAGGTCTAATGAACATTCTCGAAAAACAA